CTTTTATATGTCACACAATGTTATAATTAACTGTGTTCTTAATGAGCAAGTTTACATTTAATTTGTTAAAGGGATACTCAGGCAAAATAATGGAAAAAAATAAAAATCATTTTCTGTACTCAAATCACCCTAAAATGACATTTCTTAAAGTCCCGACATGAATTTCTGTATAAATTCTATATATTTTGGGTTTTGAAGTTTAAATATATCTATATATGTTGAACGAATTTTGACGCGAACAGAATATAGTTTATAAAAGTCATATTTGAACCTGGAAGTTACAATAACATATTGGGAATGTATGATTGAAAAACTAGTAATTAAGGTTGAAGGTTTTACGTTTATCAATGAACATGTATTTTATTAATGGGGTGTTCCTGTTCCTTTATATGTCACAAATGTTTTGATCTTGACTGTTTTTGGTTCTTTTAATGAAGAAGAATTTAAACAAAAATGAAATGTTGTCCCCTTTAAAGATACCATATATGTACCTGCTCTAAGGTAAATTACAAATTCATCATGTATGAGTCAAGGCTGTCCGTTACTAATTAGAGATACAGGTATTCTATACATTAGAATTACTGTGACTAAAGAATGGTTTTAATGTTATGGTTTAAAGAACCCACATACCCCACCCCCCTCCCACTCAACAAAGTTGTATTGATGGGGATTCAGCTTGTTGTATGTCTGGAAATTTAAAAATGATTTATAGTCTAGAAGACTATACCTGGTACCAACAGGAAACTTCATAGATAGATAAATCTCATTTAAGAAAAGAGAAGTGTGCAAGAACAGTAACTTCCTTTTTCATAATTTTGGAGTTATTTTCCTTTATAAATACATCTCTGACATTGTCCTTTGTAAATACATCTCTGACAAAGTGGCATGAACAGTTGTGCACCTTGATTAGCTATAGTGGTAAATGCTTGTTTGACCTGGAGGATTAGCTTGGTTAAACCTGCATTTGCAGGGTTCCAGATAACATGTGCATGTATTAACAATGAACATTTTCATATTAAAATGCAAGAGACAAGTCCATTACAAAAAAAAATAATAAATAAAAAAATGGTGAATAAGATAGACCTGATTAATATGTTTATTATTCACATCATTAAGATATATTTTAGTTGAACTGGTTATGGCATGTATCACATTACTATTGAATGGACCATTCAGGTTTATTAATACATTGTAAAATTTGATATAATTTTCATATAGCTTAAATAAGATTTCACCTGTGTGTCCAGATATCTTGTTACAGATTGGGGTAGGGTGTAACCCTGGTTGTTCAATGATTTTTATACCTTGTTAACATAAAAGTAAATATCAGTGATAAAAATCTAACAATAAACTTAATAAGGAGATACCAGTAATACCTATAGATTAGAGTTTGATTATTGGAGATTGGGAAAAATTGATATCAGATTTAAAAAAAACAGCTGAGGTTAAGAGAAATACAAGTGGTTAGTAGTTATATTAAGAGTGATGTAATGTTTTGTGAGAGATAGTTATCAAAAAGGTATAACAAGGGATTATAGGGTTTAATTGACCTCTAGTGGTTTGATCTGTTATATAGTAAAGTAGATATCTATAGATTATCTGGAAAATAAATCAGTTCAACTTAAAGTGTTTTTATTAGAGTGTATATTCAAATATTGGAAGGATATTATCAATTTGATGTTAATGATTTAATTTCTCGGATTCTTTGGTGGGGTTCGAAATATTTGTAGGAATGGTGATTAGACAGTTGTGTCATTCTATGTATGTTCGGAGGGATTTAGAGGGAAAAAAAAAACACCTTTTGAAGTGGTGACAAAGTTACCAAATACAGTTAAAAGCATTGTATGTCATTATTTTAGTGTAATGTGTATTGTTTCTGGTTCTTTATTGGAGAGATCATGTCATTTAGTGTTTACTGTATATATTTACCAGGCGCAGAATGAGAAATGTAGAATTTTTATTGTAGTGTCTGTGTATTCTAATTATTGGTATACATTTCTGCATTTTCTAGCGAACATGTAATACATGTGATAGATTCAAAACACAGACTTTATTGCAGTCTATAACAGTACAATGATGAAAATGACAACAGGAGTGAACTCTTGGAAAACATTGTCCGATCTGTCTCTATCTTTCAAAGAGAGACAGAACAATAATGAAAATGAAAACTGGTTAGTCAGAGACGACACTGCTGACCTTACAGCAGAGTTGAGTAATACTGGTGATATACTGAATGAAGAAAATGATAGGAATAATAATTTTGTTACAATTGCGGAGAAAAAGTTGGTTGGGATATTGAAGAAAAAGGGATCTGAGGATAAAACAGAGATAAATGATGTTGATGATGGTATCGACGAAGGTCTCGGAGATTTGGACGATGTTTTTGATGATTTTGATGAAATGTATGAGTCAACAGTGAATCTTAATGAAAGAGTTGATATAGATAAGTTAGGAGAGTTAGACAAGGGTAGTAAACCTGAGATTATAATAGATTCTACTTGTATGTTCAAAGCTCACTGTGATTCTCTGTCATTGTGGAATAACTTAAAAACTAGCGAAAATAATCAGGTTGATAATAACGAGATCTCCAAACAGTGCAATATAGTAGAAAATGGCCGACCTGTGCGGCCATCTTGGTTAGAAATGTGCAATAATGACAAAAAACTGAATGATAACGATGAAGTGATTTCACCAAATACAAGAGCGAAATCAGTACATTTTGCAATATTTCCATATGTTAAAGAAGTGCCAAGAGTCGCTGATTTAGAAATGGAATTTGATACAAGTTCTCATGATGTTAATAATAATGATGGTCATGATAAAAATGGTAAATGGTTTTTTTCTTTTTCCTTATTTTATGGCACAATATCCAAAAAGCATATGATTGCCTTCTTACTGATGGGTGTGATGAAAAATATAAATGAAAAACAATGCCTCCTTAAAGCATAATGCACACTTGAATTTTTCGGTTTGAGAACCGTTTATACTTTAGACACACTAGGTAATGCATCAAAGTGCTAGTGGAATGGTTTCAGATCCATGCCACTAAAAAAACTTGATGTCAAATTTATTCAGAAGTAGGATATAATACATCAACACTGTAATTTATTTACATTTTAAAACAGTTACTTAACTTTCCCAACTGAACTCATTATAAGTCTTTCTAGGTCAAATTAGTGCAATATGTTATAAATTGTAAACATTTTAAACAAAAGACAAAAAAACAAGTTTCATGGTATATTTTATTTCTATAAAAGTATAAAAATGCTTTGAAAATATTAGTATCGTTTAGTTCAGTGACATAATTATACAAAATCGCCTCAGATGTGGACGTAAAAAGTATATATACTAGTTTACACACTGTTGATTCAAACTTAACAAATTGTTATGAACTTGGTATTGTGAACTCAATGAACTGATACCATACTAATGTAAGTCTAAATGGCTTTCAGCAAGAGATACGGTACTTTTGTACAAAGTTTTAAATATTATTATCATGATTATTTGTAGGTGAGGAATTCAAAATTACCATTTGATAGGAAAAGAAGCATGAAATTTCATCATAAACAAGGTTAAAAATGACATAATTTATATACAGTTGAAAGCATATTAAACAATTTTGCTTACCTAATGAAAATTTTAATGGACTGTGAAATGTATGAAGTGAATGAAACAAATCTCTGTGTGTCAAGTGAAACAGATTTTTATAATGCACATTTACCAATATATGTTCACAATATAATAGTACAATGTTGACAAGTGAAAAAAACAAAACACAAAAAAAATATCAGTAGATTTTTCACAGCACAATTAGTTGTGCTTTGCTATGGTAAGTGCCATAGTTTGGCAAATTACAGACATTTTACAAAGAACAAGCTTGTGACTGAATTAATGTTCTTCGGGGCACCTTGGCACTATCCTGTTTGATGGCTATGAACTAACTCTTACCTTCCCCATATCAGTTTCCTTGATTAATGAAAGCAATTACAGTGTATAACGATGAAATTTAATGTTAATAAATTAAAAACTTAAGTTCTTGCACAGTTATCACACAAATTAACTCACACTTTTTAAAAGTATTAGTTTAAACTTTAATAATTTTAATAGTTCCTAATCAGCGTTTACAATAGACAGATGTCTTAGGGTTTGCCATCTTTCTGTCAGACTCTGTCTGGCTGTTCATCTTTTAACTGGTTAGTCGTTTGTCTTTGCCAAAAAAAATGGTCATCCTGTTTTTATATTTTGTGTGGAGCTAATGCAGTGTTGTTGGTGTGTTAATGGTAATCCAGACAGAATTGAACTGTAACAATGAATGCGGAATCTGTAGGAGACTTATATGTTGTCTGATATATGACCTGTTTAACTAATGCCAAAAAACAACAACAAAAAACCACTTCTATATACACCTAGATACACATAAAAATAGCAAGATTTAATGTACATATAGTAAATTTTAGATAGACATCATTTTAGCTTTTCATATTTAAGGCCTATTGCTTTAGTCTTGCTTTTCTTCCCCCCCAATATATGGGAAGTCATTAGTTTTATTTACACCACAACTTTTGAATGTTGTTTTTCTTTAATTTTCATATTGATAAACAACAACAAAATAAAAATATCATTGTTTTTTAAGCTTTTTTGTGCCAGGCTATTTTCTGTTTTTTTAAGAAAAGTTAATATTGCAAAAATGTTTATGTATTAATTCTCTAAATATCGTTATTTATAAAAATTAACGATTAAAGACATTAAGGTTTGAAATAGCTTATAGAAACAGATTTTTGAAACTACTTTAGAATTATAGAAGGAATAAGCCAGAAAATACTCTTCTTTTTTTTTTAGAGTTAGTTTAAAACAGCTTTTGCAATAATTGGTTATTTTTAAGGTAGAATCTTTAGAGCATTTCGGAGAATTAATAAAGATGTGCATGCTAATTTAAACATACACCATTTTATCAAACGTAAGCCTCCATACATGCACGTGACACTTGATATATTTTGCAGCACGGAAATCTCATGTCGTACCCTCGTCATATTCATCCAGTCGTATATCACCACAAGATCATGGTCGTAATCGTACACGTTTAGGAACATCTCAATCGCAACGTGAGTATTCTTCCACGAGTGGGATAACTTTGGGGAAATTGTTTGCTGGAGTAGTCTCCCTTTTATCTGTTTTTGGTTTATTCACTGCATAATAAAGCAACTCATGGGATCAGGTTTGGTAAATTTCTTGCCTGTTTACCTCCCATTGGTTCTGGCTTATCTAACAGACTTCAACTCTCCATCATTAACTCTCCCTGATGTGCATGCACATTTTTACATTATCTCCCGTGGATATTGACCAAGTTTCTGAGCTTTTTTGCCTAATCTGCTAGTGGTTAAAACTTGCTGTTTTAATTTCTTGAGGATGTTTTTTTTTAACAGTTTTTCTTTGCAATGAATGCTGCTTAGCCCTTTTCTTTTACATTGCATGAAAGGAAAAAATACTGCTGTCCTATGTTTAAATGTATATATTCGTCAGTCATTTTACAGTCATTCCAATTTTTACTGCTGCATTTCTTCATATGAAATGTTCAATAACGAACAGTTCTTAAAAAGTTTATGCGTTTTTGTAACCAAGAAATACATCATTTTCTAGAATTAGAAAACTAACATTTTCTGGAATAATTAACTTTTGTTTACTAATTCAATTCACCGTTTTGTACTAGAACACACTTCTAACATACTGTTTTTTACTAACACAGATACCAAATCTTTTTAGTTTATTTTCTTCTCTTTTTTTTTGTAAAGAAAAAAAAAATCTGCTAAAAAGTTTCTCAATCTATTGATGAATGCAATTTATTTTTATTCCATTTATTCTTCATTTTCAGCAAATTTTATTTTATACCATACAAATTATTATTGTTTACAGGTTCATTGTTAAAACTTTTTTTATACCATTTTGTCATTGTACAGTTTCAGAAAGAAAGAACCATAATGTAGATCTACAAAAAAACACAAGACTTTTTCATTGTTTTTTTGACAATTACATCTTTTATTTATGTATATTTCTTTTATTAAATTGTGATTGACCACCTTACAGCAAATAGCCGGTCCAGCTCTCCCACCCCTCGTTCAAGTTATCTGACTCACACCACCGGGCATGCAGCTCCTTTGACCCCTAGTCGACCCAGAAAGGCGTCCTCTGTCTCTAACCCTAGAAGTCAGGGAACCAGCAGAGAATCCAGTCCTTCTAGATCTGTCAAGTCATCCGGTTATGGTGAGTTTTTTAATTCTGTCATCCGGTTATGGTGAGTTATTTGAATTCTGTCATCCGGTTATGGTGAGTTATTTAATTCTGTCATCCGGTTATGGTGAGTTATTTAATTCTGTCATCCGGTTATGGTGAGTTATTTAATTCTGTCATCCGGTTATGGTGAGTTATTTTATTCTGTCATCCGGTTATGGTGAGTTATTTAATTCTGTCATCCGGTTATGGTGAGTTATTTTATTCTGTCATCCGGTTATGGTGAGTTATTTTATTCTGTCATCCGGTTATGGTGAGTTATTTTATTCTGTCATCCGGTTATGGTGAGTTATTTTATTCTGTCATCCGGTTATGGTGAGTTATTTTATTCTGTCATCCGGTTATGGTGAGTTATTTTATTCTGTCATCCGGTTATGGTGAGTTATTTAATTCTGTCATCCGGTTATGGTGAGTTATTTAATTCTGTCATCCGGTTATGGATAAGTGATTTTTTCCTACCATCCAGTTATGGTGAGATATATAACATCTTGATACGGTGAGTTATTTATTTTTTGTCATTTGGTTGTGGTAAGTGATCATTCATCAAATTTAACCATTGGTATTCATAGTAAACATAATCATGTGAACATTCACCATGTAAAACAGCTGACTCCAGTTCCCTATTTTGTTTGTTTATCCAAAGATTACAGAAAGTTTATAATCCTGCCCTTGCTCTTACCCCACATCATTGTTGATGCATCAAAATAATAGTATGATTTAGGCTTTGAGGTTAATGTCATTAACTTTCTCATCTAGAGTTGCTGCACTTGAGAATCATAAATTTAGCATGGACTTTTATGATCATATGAACTTGAAAACATCAGTGTTAAGTTGCATGCAACTCCTATTTCCATCTTAAGTGTCATTTTCTTTGGGAAGTCTGGATATAATCTTATAAAAATTATGTTCAATTTTTTGTTGTTGTAGGATTACCAGGACGTGAACGAAGATTCAGCGGTAGTAAGTCTGCCGGTAAGAGTGGTTTGACAGTAAAAACATTAAAACCTGGTCAGGACGTGGAGGAACTGTTAGCAGATGCCTTGGTAAATAAGATCTTAAAGACTGATTTGTAATTAATAATATGTGCTTGTAAATGTTTTGAACGCATATAAAGGTTTTCCTGTGTGGCCAAGATGTTAATGTCATTGACTTTGCCTCTAACAACTATTGGTTGTATACAGTCAAAACTGCCTATGAAAGATAACTCTGTCCTTACTTCCTGTCAGATTTAAACACGTCAGAAACAAAGAAAAAACGTACAATGTACAATATTATTCTGACATTATTTTAATAGTTTTATTGGCACTAATTGTTTAACAATCAACAATCAAATATTCCTTTACATTGTAAATGTATACATGACTGTGTTGTTGTGTAAATGTATTTAAATGTTATTTTGTGATGGAGCTTCACACCTGGTTATCAATTTTTGTACTTACTTTATAATTGTCTGACATTGCCTTAAACAATATAAACTAAGTTTAAAGTTCATGAATAGTTTACCGAAAAATGATTTGTTTGGTTCTGGCCATGAATAGTTAACCAGTTTAAAGTTTGATAGGCTCTGTTCATGAATAGTTAACCAGTTTAAAGTTTGATAGGCTCTGTTCATGAATAGTTAACCAGTTTAATGTTTGATAGGCTCTGTTCATGAATAGTTAACCAGTTCAAAGTTTGATAGGCTCTGTTCATGAATAGTTAACCAGTTCAAAGTTTGATAGGCTCTGTTCATGAAAAGTTAACCAGTTCAAAGTTTGATAGGCTCTGTTCATGAATAGTTAACCAGTTTAAAGTTTGATAGGCTCTGTTCATGAATAGTTAACCAGTTCAAAGTTTGATAGGCTCTGTTCATGAAAAGTTAACCAGTTCAAAGTTTGATAGGCTCTGTTCATGAAAAGTTAACCAGTTCAAAGTTTGATAGGCTCTGTTCATGGATAGTTAACCAGTTCAAAGTTTGATAGGCTCTGTTCATGAAAAGTTAACCAGTTCAAAGTTTGATAGGCTCTGTTCATGAATAGTTAACCAGTTCAAAGTTTGATAGGCTCTGTTCATGAAAAGTTAACCAGTTCAAAGTTTGATAGGCTCTGTTCATGAATAGTTAACCAGTTCAAAGTTTGATAGGCTCTGTTCATGAATAGTTATCCAGATAATGGTTTGATTGGCAAGTTGTCATGCACAGCTTTATAGTCTGACTGACTGTTCATGAATTGTTGACCTTTTTAATCTGTAAACAATACATAGCAAAGCAAATCGATGGTTTTTGTGCCACAAGTAAAGGCTAAAAAGTTACATGACTTAAAACTTTACTAAAGTATAAAAAGGAGTAACAAGAAAAATAGATAGCTGGAAATGTTATTGCAGCTCAAGATGCTTTTTAGTTGTGACATTTAAACATTTGATATTGATTATTTTAGCGCCAGCCTCTAAGGAAACGTTATGAGAGTTATGATTCAGATGATAATGCCAGTGAAACTTCCAGTGTGTGTTCAGAAAGGTCTTTTAGTTCATATGGAAAAACCTCAGAGGTGAGTATCTTAAACATGGATGGTGTATAAGAATATTGTTGTAAGGCGGGAAATGAAATACTGATGCTTTGTGTAACCTCTAGCAGTGTTTTTAGTTTAAAAGCTTCTCATTCACATTACAAAATTAAAATAAATTTATACAAATTCCCCTTTATTAATTAATATAATGTTTTTCCTGTCTGTTTGTCTGTGAATCACCTTAATCCTATAAAAAAAACAAAAACAAAAAACAACAACCACAAAAAAATAAAGCCTTGTTAAAAAACTATAGTATTTGCAGTACTGAATCATGTGAATACTGATGATGAATCCGTTTTTAATGGACTTTGAATAGAGACAGTACTACTCTATTAAGACCATTTATTTCTTCAGAACCGCAAGTGGTTTCATTAGTGGGCTTCTACTGTAGTTTAAAAGCAACTTGATTAATTACTTATTTTGTTGAGTATTGAGACATTTGAGCTTAAGCTTTTTTGGTGCGCTTGAATTTTGAAAAGTATCGAAATCTTGACCGAAAGTTTAAATGAAGTGATGTTTTTTGCTCTCAGTTTAATAACTTTATTCTTCTGATATCCACGTTTTTATTATTTTTAATTCCAATTGCTTTTGGGTTTAAAGTTTCAGACATTTATTGTAGTATTTAGTCAGGGAAGGTTAGATAATCTTAATATGTGAATTGTCAGATAGTTCAGTTATAATTTCACATTCAGCACTACTTTTTTCAGGGAATAAGCATCTGACATGCTCTAAAACCATTTTGAGCCGCGTCACGACAAAACCAACATAATGGGTTTGCGACCAGCATGGATCCAGATCAGCCTGCGCATCTGCGCAGTCTGATCAGGATCAATGCTGTTTGCTTACAAACCCTATTACAAGTAGAGAAATTGATAGCGCACAGCATGGATCATGATCAGACTGCGTGGATGTTGGTTTTGTCATGACACGGCTCATTTTGTAAACATTTTAAAGCTCCTGTTTCTTCTTTCTAAAAAGGAACAATTTTTTTGCATCTGATGATCAAAGTCAAAATACATGATATCAGAATACCTTATTGACCATTTTTGTTTTATTTTAAACTCTGAGACTGTAAATGAAAAAAATGTCCAACATGTTTTCCTAATTAACAGAACATTTAAAGATTGTTTCCTCCTGCTGAGCAGTAATGAATTCACTAATAGAACAAGGGGGATAGGAAAGTTATGAAACAAACACATAACAGATATTGTAACAATTCGGTCACCGGAACCTTGTTTAAACTCTTAATATTGCTGTAATAATAATTTTTGGAATATAAAAAGAGTAATCATGTACAGGCCTAGATCCAGTATTTTTTTTTTACCAGAGGGGCGCCACAAAGTTTTGACAAGGTGAAGTGCATATTTTCCAAAGGGTGTTTGGCATTTTATCCAAATTCCAGAAGGGGTCATAAGTTATATTTTTTTTTTGCTGGATTTTACTAGTTTTGTTTGATTTTTACTAAAAATACATAAGTTGATTAAATCATTTTCAAATCTTAGAGGGTTGTCACATACAAGCCAAAAGGGGGGGGGGGGGGGGGGGGTCATGACCCCCATAAACCTTCCTCTAGATCCATTCATGACATATTTACTGGGCTGCAATACTCTCAATTAGCAAAATGATGGTTGTTGCCACAAGGACTTTCTTCCTACAGGCATAGAGCAGTTATACATCCGACTTTTCTTAAAGACGAATTTTCTCATTATAAAATTTATTTAATCATTGACAAATATCCCTTTCACAGACTTTCTTTGCCTTAAAACATAATGATCCTTGCAGTATTTAAGGTCAGTAAGTAAGCCAGAGCAATTTCTTTCTTTAATTGTTGATAATTACAGTATTTTTAATATGGTTAGGAAAACTAATGCAAAAGCGGTATATTTAATGGCTGTTCCAAGCTTTTTTATTCATATTTTTGTAGTTAATGATTTTCTTCAACATAATGAGCATGCTGTTGATGAAATGATAACTTATTTTTTTGCTGTAACTGTTTTTAATGTAAATGCATCGTACATCTGTTAATGCTTCAAAATAAAAAGGCTTCCAATTCGACAACCGAAAAGGAAAGATGGCCCCGTCGTTCGTCGACTCCATCTAAGGTAGTGGGTGTTGTATTTTTTTTTGGTCCATGCACTAATGCACTCACCAAGAAAAACTTATGCTGAAACAAGATTATTTAGTGTTTTGCATGTTATCTGAGTAGTTTGCTTATACATTGGTACCATTCTTTCTCTAAATTTGAATTAACTATTAACTTGTCCATGAGGTGTAAGAGACAATCTTGAATGCTTCCAAAGGTGTTTTATTGTAAAGAATAGTACCATTGTATAAGAACCATTGTATTCATGCATTGATGGCTCCATTACATAATGTCACTGTTTACAGGGCTATTCTGGAATCACTTTGTCTGTCCACTCAATAAATCATATACCCCTTTAAAGATTTTCTTTATACTTTGCTTAAATGTCCAACTTAACAATACTCAGATACTTTGTCATTCAAATGATGTTTCAAGGTCAAGGTCACACTTGAGAGCAAGTTTTCAGACAATTTTGTACCAACTCGAAGTTAAACAGTTAAAGGTTAAATGTGAAACATCAGAAATTTTATATTTGCTGTATAAATCCTATACCCATTCATAAACTTCCTTGAAACTTCCTCAACACAGCAATATGCAGAATCCATGCTACATTAACTTTGCCACAACAAGGCAATGTGCATTACCCATGCCATAGTGGTTTCACCTGAAGGTCAAGGTCATAGTTGAACGTTAATTGACAGAATCCCAAATATTACACAATTTAGTGTTTGGTTACAGCTGTCAGATTTAGTTGCCTTCAAAAATATATGTATAAATGGACAACCATTTAGTCATGTGCCAGCATGAGTGGTATTCTTGCTCTGAGGACAAAGCTCTTGTTCTAGTTGCCTGTAGAATGCATTTTGTTTCTTTCTGATGTTGTTCATTATATTATGAACTTGTATGGAGGTTGATAAGAAAGTTATCAACAGAAGTGTCTTCAGAAAGCAAAAGTACTAGGGCAAATATGAAGAAAAAAAGGAAGTATTTAAGACACTTGTTAAAATTAATAGGAGTATCAGATTATTTTTTTATAATTGAAAAAATAATCCCTTGAACAAATTGATGCTCGAATTTTGACATTGCTGTCATGACATTTTAGACCCAGTTATATAAGGAGAAAAGTGAACTTTAACATAAAATTTTATTTTTACAAATGTATAAAATTCTCCAGAATTTGAATTATTCCTACAAAGTAGTTATGGAATTTTTAAATATAAAAACTCCCGTTTGAGGGGATATGAGCCGTGTCATGACAAAACCAACATAATGGGTTTGCGACCAGCATGGATCCAGACCAGCCTGCGCATCCGGGCAGTCTGATCAGGATCTATGCTGTTCGCTTACATACTCTATAAAAATTAGAGAAACTGATAGCGAACAGCATGGATCCTGATCAGACTGCGCGGATGCGCAGGCTGGTCTAGATCCATGCTGGTCGCAAACCCATTATGTTGGTTTTGTCATGATGCCGCTCATATGATGAATGTATTTGACTGTAATGTAATGAATAACATGTAGCTCTGAATTTGTATTTAATTTTGCTTAAATCCCAGTCGTATTTATGTTCCTTGTAAATGCATTTGTTATTTTTTGTTAAATTTTATTTTAAAAATCACACAGCTTCTTCATGATACTTAATTGCTATGTCACGTTGTTGTGTTTTTTATATATTTTTTTATGTTCAATTTTGTTTTGATTCTTCACAGATGAGAAGGAAGGTAGGGTGTTAGTTATGTCCCTTTAATAGATGTAATATTTTATTGTCTGGGTATATAGTTAAGAATGACATACTGTTCTCAGTTGAGAACTGGCGTAAAACAGAAACTTTTAAAAGGAAAAAGGGGCTAACAAATGCAGATGCAAGATGGTTATAAAATAAAGCAAATGCTGCATGCATGTTGTTTTTTTTGTAGCTATTATTATGCCCCCATTTCGAAGAAAAGGGGGTATATTGCTTTGCACTTGTCGGTCCGTCGGTCCGTCGGTCCGTAGACCAAATGGTTTCCGAGTGATAACTAAAGAACCCTTAGGCCTAGGAACTTCAAACTTGGTATGGTGATTGGTCATGACCAGTAGATGACCCCTATTGATTTTGGGGTCAAGGGGTCAAAGGTCAAGGTCACATTGACCTTGAAAGCAAAAACGGTTTCCGATCAATAACTAAAGAACCTTAAGGCCTAGGAACTTCAAACTTGGTATGGTGATTGGTCATGACCAGTAGATGACCCCTATTGATTTGGGGTCAAGGGGACAAAGGTCAAGGTCACATTGACCTTGAAAGCAAAAACGGTTTCCGATCAATAACTAAAGAACCTTAAGGCCTAGGAACTTCAAACTTGGTATGGTGATTGGTCATGATCAGTAGATGACCCCTATTGATTTTGGGGTCAAGGGGTCAAAGGTCAAGGTCACATTGACCTTGTAAGCAAAAACGGTTTCCAATCAATAACTAAAGAACCTTACGTCCTAGGAACTTCAAACTTGGTATGGTGATTGGTCATGATCAGTAGATGAACCCTAATGATTTTGGGGTCAAGGGGTCAAAGGTCAAGGTCACATTGACCTTGTAGGTAAAAACGGTTTCCAATCAATAACTAAAGAACCTTAAGGCCTAGGAACTTCAAACTTGGTATGGTGATTGGTTATGACCAATCAGATGACCCCTATTGATTTTGGGGTTAAGGGGTCAAGGTCAAGGTCACATTGACCTTGTAGGTAAAAACGGTTTCCGATCAATAATGAAAGAACCCTTAGGCCTAGGGACTTCAAACTTGAGATGGTGATTGGTTATGATCAGTAGATGACCCCTATTGATTTTGGGGTCAAGGGTCAAAGGTCAAGGTCACATTGACCTTGAAGGTAAAAATGCTTTCCGATCAATAACTAAAGAACCCTT